TCCAGTAAAATATGAATAGAGATGAAACAGTGGCCTCACCTTGGTTGTAAGGTGAGTGTGTTCATCAGATTAAATTTCACTTGGCATATCCTGCTGTTTACTTGGACAGTGATGTTGGAGTAAGTTATTTTTTATTATTTCTATCTCTTGACATTCTGATTAGCTCATCAGCAATCAGTCACTATTCACTCTTCAATTGCTTTTATGAAGTAGCCAACTCCTCCCCCTGCTCCCCACCCCCATCAGCAAATTATTCACGTTTGGGAAAGAGTCCTCTCTCTTGAGAGAGTGCTTGCTCCAGGCCAGATGAAATGTAGTCGTGCTGCTACAAGACTCGAATGAATCATGGAATTTTAAGACAAACTTTAAGTATTATGGTTTCTAGGGCATATAAGGGTATGCCAGTCACCTTTGGATTCATTCTGACTCCGATGATTTTTCAGAGGGAACACTGAGGAATTGAATAAATTGTATAACTTGATATGCTAGCTAATTTTGTGAATGTCTTTTTAGTTGGGGCTGTGTAAGCGCAGTGTGCATGTAATTCTTTGCTTTTGTGTTTCTGAATTAGAGCAAAAACACATCCAGGTACAATTATAGCATATATTATCCTGAACTCGTGAGCACAGTGGAGTTCCTTTCAATATTTCTGAGGATGGTCAATTATCTTTGAAAAGAGTCCACCAATCTGTACGCGCTGGCTTTTTCCCCCTCTCTCATTAGAATTAATCTTGAAAGTTATATGTGGAATATTTAAAAAATTAAGTCATATTTTCCCATCTTAAGTAAGGAAATTTGTGCTCACAGAAAAAAAAAATGTTGGGCCTTTTCTAATGAAAATCAAATTTTAAAGTACTAGCCTTTTTCAGTGAGTAATCTGCATTTGTCAATGTGCAGATTGCAGTAACTTTTTTATACAAGAAGTTAGTCAAGTGGATCCACACCATTAGAAACAAATGGTTATTTTCATGTGATTGAGATTTTTCCCTCAAGCTGTGAGTCTTGAATATTTAAGTAGACATCCCATTTGTGGCAATCTGTCTTGCCTTTTGTGACATTGTCTTGTGAGTAGAGCCACAAAAAGTTGTCTTTTTATTGAGATTTATTGGGCTGTGGCCTTCTGTGGTTAAAGTAGAAATTTAGATGAATCAATATGAACTTTAAAAAAATGAATACGCTCAAAGCAGTGCTGGCCTTCAAATAGAGCAGTATCTCTGAGATGTGTTTAAACTATTTACCCTGCCTCTGTTTGATAACAATTGAGGCCCCAATCAGGTTTGTATTTTTAATCCTGTAAAAGGCAACTGGACCGCCCTTATGTAGGACCTGGAGAGTACAAGCAATGATAGCTTCACCTGGCAGGGACCCGGAGTAGTGTTCAATCATGTACTGGCTTAGTCAGGCGCTAAAAGCCAGGGTGCAAAACAAAACATCCTATAGAGTTATTCTAGTAATTTCTTTAAATCGCCCTTAAACTACAATATGTGCAGGTTAGTGTATATAACTCTGAAGCGTAATTTTTATGCACAACATAGTCTGAGAACCACTGGGCTAGAATAAAGGAAGGAACAAAAGGGGTGCTGTCTAGACACTCAAACTATTGTTTCTTTGTGGTAGCTCTCTACATCCATGGAAAAGTGGAGAATGCTAAAGAATCCTGTTTACCGCGTTCTCCTTTGAGATCAAGCCTCTGTAATCTTCAGACATGTTAATAGATTGGGTTGGTAATGTAAGGATTAGATTAGACAGTAAGCATGAAAGCACCTTGCTCAGGACCAGGTTGATGTGATAGGTTTAAATCGAAGTGCTGCTTGTCATTGTTCTTTGGAAAGTTATAGAGGACAATTTGGCCAGCTGCCTCCTGTTTTTCTAGGTTGGGACTTCCCACTGCCTAGCAGTGACTTACACGTTCTTGCTCATTGGCTGTCTCTATGGGCCAGTTGGAGGTAGGAGTGGGTGAGGTTTTCAGTTCTAAGGTCAGGCCCTACATTTGGTGGATATGACGTGACTCAGTTGAATATCATACATTACCCTTGGGATCTGTAGGTCTTCTCTTGGTCTTCTAGAGTTCAGATTTCCAATGTGAGAATCACCTGATGAAATTGTGTAAACCGCCTACCTAGACTTTCCATGGCAAAGTCATAACTATGTGTGTTTAAATGTTTTTTTACTATGTGTTTTTGGGGGTATGTTCGAATTTGTATTTTTAGAGAACTGCCCAGGTAATTCTTATATAACCAGCATAACCCTGGGGAGTAATATATTTTGCCACAAGGGTCTTTGAACATTTATGACCCTAATTTAGCATAAATTATTTAGGAAATAACTGCTGTATTTTTATGAAGGTTTAAAAGGACATAATTTCAGTTATGAAGTGAATCAACCACTTATTAGCCGAATAAACCATAAGACTGACCTTTTAGCAGATGTAAAATTGGCACACTTAGGTTTACATATTTTAAAAATTGAATACTAACCAAGTCGTTTATTTGCTTGGGGTGCTACGGCCTTTGATTTCTACTCCCAGGTATCGCTGAAATGATCACCTGAGGTTTTGTTTGCTTGTTTGTTTTTAACAGCTTAGGTTTTGAATTGCATTTTCTTTTTCATTTTGGAAGGTAACTTTGTATTTCTCATAATTTAGTGTAAGTTCAGAATTTTACTTGAAGCTCAGTTTGAAAAGGAAATGTATGTTTCGTCTCTGATTCAACATTAAGTTTCCTCTATCCCAGCAAATGTTTCTGTCTCCACTCATCCTTACTGTTTGATTCATGAAGTGTATTTTATTTGTGTATATGCTTAGTCCCACCTATTCCAGTGTCTCTTAGACTGTTTCTCTTCAGTTACGTTCCTTTTCTTTATCCTCTCTTTCTGTCTTTTCCCCTGCTTATGCACAAAATCTGTTTCCCCACATGAAAATAACCAATCCTTCTCTCCACCTTGCTGCGCTTCAACCTACCATGTCATTTTATCTCTTTGCTTCTCTATTCCGGCCAATTCTTGAAAGATTAACTTTATTTGCTGCCTCTACATCTTGACCTTTTGCAGTTTGGCTTCTATGCTTACCACTTTATTGGAACTCCATTTTAACGGAGTCACTAATAACTTCCTCTTTCCCACATCTAACAGTCTTTTCTAAGCTCTCATCCTCTGACCTTTTGCAGTATTTGAGGATGCGGATCATACTTTTCTTCTTGACAGCTCTTCCATGGACATACATGACACTTCAGCCTCAGTTGTCCAACCTCTGTGACTGCCTGTCTCTTACTTCTTTTCTGAATCGTTCTCTGTATTTGCTATGTAAATGTATTTATTAACATGTTCTTCTGCCTTTGCTGTTCCTCCCACTTTTGTGCATTCCTTTTTGCTGGATTTTAGCTCCAGGAGCTAGGACAAAACTATGGGGTACACCCTGAGGGACTCTTAGACTGAATCCGGAGGAAACATATCTGAGATGCCAGAAGGGAGATCCAATGTTGTGGTTAGAAAATGGTGCCCAAATATTAAGTCTGAAAGGTAAGGATGAAAAATGGGAAATTAAGCAGTAAGAGTAGTAGTTTGTATGATGGAAAATAGACAGATGAGACAAGAGCATGAATGTCTATCTTCTCCAATCACTTTGTATCTGAGAGCCCAATGCGTATTACCTGGGAGCATGATCTCTTAAAGGAATTGCTGGGGCTTTGGCTTCAACAATCACTTCTCAGGTGATGAACCTCAAATCTGCATCTGAATCCCCATTAAATTCTCCTATGAACCAGAGTTCTACTAGTATTTCAATCTTCCTCTTAGATCAGGGGTCCTTAAACTTTTTAAACAGGGGGCCAGTTCACTGTCCCTAAGACCGTTGGAGGGCCGGACTATAGTTTAAAAAAAAAAACAACTATGAACAAATTCCTATGCACACTGCACATATCTTATTTTGAAGTAAAAAAACAAAACAGGAACAAATACAGTATTTGTATTTGCATGTGGCCCGCGGGCCGTAGTTTGAGGACCCCTGTCTTAGATGGTTTCCCCAGGATATTTAACTGGTACCCCAAGTTTAACATTCCAAATTAAATTTATTTTCTTTATCCTGAAACCAACTTTTTTTGGGGGAGGGGTTCCTAATATATCACTGTTCTGTCATTCTGGATAAAAATCCATAGCCTTCCTTGACTTTCCTTTTTCAAGTAGCCCACATCTAGCTATTTGAAAAGTATTATCAGTATTATCTCCATGATGTCTTATAAGTGTCCCTACCTTTACTTCCTTTTGTTTCAGCTGCTGATTTAGGGGCTGGCTGCTACTCAACACTCCAGAGATAGTCACCTATTTAGCATCATCTTACCCCTATTCTTTTCATTGCTGCCAGACTAATGTTTCCAAAACTCAACCATGAATTTAGAAGACACTTAAAAAAAATTTGTTATTGATTTCAGAGAGGAAGAGAGAGGGAGAGAGAGAGATAGAAACATCAATGATGAGAGATAATTATCAATCAGCTGCCTCCTGCACGCCCCCTCCTGGGGATGGAGGTGGCAACCTGACCATGTGCCCTGACATGGAATGGAACTGTGACCTCCTGGTTCTTGAGTTGATGCTCAACCACCGAGTCACACCGGCTGGGCTAGAAGACACTTTAAACTTATCTCGACATTCCTAGCCAGAGATACTTGCTTCCCCCTCAGTGTTTTGGGAGCACTTATGCTTTCTACCATTGTGTATTTGTGTGATTATTATATATATATACTATATTACATGTTATGTACATATTTCTATACATGAATTATACATCCCTATAGATTGTAAGCTCCCTGGTGGGCAGGAACTGTCTCTTATTTACCTGCTACCACCATATATTCCTTGCATTGACTTGCAACAAATGTGCATTGAATGGAATTAAACAACTGGCTGGGCTGGAAGGACTCTGATCCCAATGAATAGTAGGTAATCTATGAGAGTCATTTTAATTTAACATTAATTTCATTTTTTGTGCATTTGTTTTATATGAAAAGCTTTTTTATTAAGCTCTGCTGATGGCATAAGTGGAACAGTTAACTGGAAGACCAAACAGGCCAACAATTTTATTATCAGCAGAAAAATGGCTGCTGGGAAGAAACATGGTGAGTTTAGGTTGTAAATCTGAATCCCTTTTGGGGAGTCAGTTAAATGTCTGCTTCCAATACCCCTTCTCCTCGTTTTAGTCTTGTGTGGATTTTTTTTAAGTCAATCTGAAAAAAAAATTAAAATTTGTTTTCCTAATCTTCTAAAACTTCTGATTCTCTGTGTTCTTAATCCATTATTTCCCAAGTGTTTTTCCTTTGCGATAGTTATGCTTTTTTAAAAAAACTAAAAATAATTATGTTTTTAACCTATTGTTGCCCCTTATCCAGTCACTGGCTTGCCACTTATAAAAATTGTCCCAGTGTGGTTATTATAACAATTAACATTGAAAAACATTAAGAAGTACATTTAACATAAATCACTTTAAGACAGTATTTATATAACCTTAGAAAAATAGTCATAAAATGTTTTGGCTAATTGTGGATGATTTTTTGAATGATTTTTGTGCAAAACCATATTGATATGTTTTGCAATTAAATAATTTGATGCCAATTGTTTTGTTTTGAAAGATGACCCGACCCTTGAATGATTTATTGTTCCTTCTCATTTTTTCTTTTATATGGATGTGTCCATTAGCAATATGCCAAGACCTTTGAAATACTGCATTTCATCATGGAGAAAAATATTAATAACCAAATATTAGTGGTTTTCAAAATATCAAGTATTATAAGTTTTCAGTTAATATTGTATTTCTTGGTTATTTACCTTTCTGATCCCTCTTACACCTCATTCCTCACCACTACCACCACACATACACATACACATACACATACACATACACACAATTTTGATTATATGTGGTCATGAACATTAGTAGAATAGTAGCCTGGTTTTCATAACTTTGGGGCAACTAAAGTGTCTATAAAAATAACGATTTTAAAATATTTTGAAAAGAATAGCAATTTTATGCACTCAAATGGCCTTACTGCCAAATAAAACCAGGGTACCTTGTAGGAGCGATTCCTGGCTTACCTCATTTTATTCATACATCCTTCAAGTTGGGGGTGACTAACTTTTCTCCTGCTAGCACCAAATTATTCCACAGCTGGAATCTTCTATTCCAAGATTTATTTCAGAGTAAGACAAAAGATCCCATTGTTCTCCTACCCTGCTTCTTTGAAACAAACCAACAAGTATATATTTTTTTGCATTTTTAAGTAATTTCCATTGCTAATATCGATAAGAAAATATAGTTTTATTATAAGAACTTTCCATGAAAAGATCACACAAATTTGTTTTATAAAACACTCGATGTACTTGTTCCAGGATCTAAGCCCATCATGTCATAGTCCGTTCCCCAGACCCTCCTTAGATATTCTCATGGAATTCTCCGTGGCTTCTTTAAGGAAATCAACCCTGACTACCCTTATCTGGCTGGTTCCTTAATCAAGCTGAGGGCCCTCAGCTTCTCTGGCACATCCACTCCTCCTGTTTTCTACATTTTCTAGTCCTGCTCATCAGATGGCCCTCAGTGTTGCCATCTGCAAGGTGCTGCTCTCCTCTGCCATCTCCCAAAGACTTGGGACTTGCCTGATTCTGGTGACCCACTTACGATTCCCAAAGACTCTTCACCTGGACTTGACACTATTTTGTCCTAATTGCAGTTATCATTTCCTTTTTCTTCAGTTTCTTCTCTTTAATTTTGATCCCTAGAATTTCCGTCCTCTTTGAGCATGTCCCTTCATTTCCTATTTCATTTGCCAAAAGGGTACTCTCTAACCAGCTGTTAAACCCAGTTGAGTTGTCTACTATGGTGCTGTTCTTGGGGAAATAAACTATTCCAGGACGTTTAATAGAGGTATTATCTCTTCCTCTTTCAAACTTTATGCTGCCATTTGACCTCAAACTGATTTTCTCCTTGGGACTTGAAAGATTACTGTACTTTTCAAAATAGAAATGAGCAATACATCTTGAACCTATTGAGGTAACCAGTTCAGATTACCACATTATGTTTATTTCTTTAGCTTCTTCTCCCTTTCTGGTCTCTTTGTCCAATTTAAATTTTATTATTGTGGTTCTGATTATCAAATATCTTATACAGAGAATAATAAGGTTCATCAACCATGTGAACAGAATTGTTTGTAGTATCTTATATAGCAAGGGTATTTTAAATGGTATCTCAGATCTATCAAATGTTCTGTGAAATGTTTTTTACAATTTCAAGAGAGCACAAAAGATTACAAGAGAATTTAAATAGAGAAATAAGCTTAGCAATTATATTTTTTGTATAACTTTCTTTTTAAATAGTGTTCTAATTTTTAATTTTAGCAATGGGTGGTGCCTTATCAGTAAATAGGATTTTGAGGAATTTAAATGTCTCAAACCAATACTTTTGGCATCATTCTACCTTGATACACATGAAGTGGTTGAAAAAACCAGAATGAACACTCTAAATATGGTGTGTTTTTTCCTTTTTCCTGGGGTGAGGGTAGAGGAACTTAAAATTTACCCCTGGAACAATTTAAATAAAAAGAAATAAGCCTTTGCATTACTCATTTATATGCTTCACTTAGATAAACATTTTCAAATTCTACTTTCTTACTTGGCAACTCATGTTCTAAAATGGGTTAGTCTTAGGTTTACTGATAAACTTCTATTGCTTTCTTCCCTAAGAAACAAAGAGAAAACCAAAATGGTCTTGTGCTGATTTTCTAATTATTTTCAACTTAAATGTTAAACTTTAATTAGACATTCATGGGAATGAAGTAATATGTGAGTCGAATAATTGGGTAGGATTCTCTTTTGCCATCTTAAAGGAGGCTCCTTCTTAGCTATTGACAGTCAAGGGATTGCATGGCTCAAAGACAGAAAAGTCTCTCTGGGTGACCTTTTACCCCTCTTTCGTTGGAGAGGAGCAGGAAGTGCTCTTAGGACTTAAGATGTATTCTTCTTTGCCTCAGAAAGGTGGCAAAGCCAGGAGGAAGGATCACCACATTAGGACTTCAAAAGACCATCAGCCAGAGATGTGAGTTTCTCCTTCTAGACTCTTAGCTATGAGGGCTGAAATGTCTCAAACTTTTTTCTTTCTTTAAACAAAAGAAACTTCCGGTTTGTATCTTGAAATTGTTATTATTATTTTTTTTATTGCTTAAAGTATTACAAAGAGTATTACATATGTCTCCTTCCCCCCCCCCCCCCCCGCCCTTGACAATCCCCTGGCCTCCCCTACCCCCCAGTGTCTTATGTCCATTGGTTATGCTTATATGCATGCATACAAGTCCTTTGGTTGATCTCTTACCCACCCCCTCCTGCCCTCCCACCCTCCCCGGCCTTCCTGCTGTAGTTTGATAGTCTGTTCGAGGCAGCTCTGCCTCTGTATCTATTTTTGTTCATAAGTTTATAATGGTCTTTATTATCCAGAAATGAGTGAAATCATGTGGTATTTTTCCTTCATTGACTGGCTTATTTCACTTAGCATAATGCTCTCCAGTTCCATCCATGCTGTTGCAAATGGTAAGAGTTCCTTCTTTTTTACAGCAGCATAGTATTCCATCATGTAGATGTACCACAGTTTTCTAATCCATTCATCTACAGATGGGCACTTAGGCTGTTTCCAGATCTTAGCTATGGTGAATTGTGCTGCTATGAACATAGGGGTGCATAATGAAATTGTTATTGTCAACTCACTTTTTCCAATGGTGCAGTGTAATTATGATAACTTCATGAAATAATAGAATGATCTTTGATTGTCTGGACAAATTCTGACTGGTCAGAAAAACAAGAGAGATAATTAAGAAAGTTAAGGTGTTATGGAACATAATTAGCCTACTGTGGTAGATTTAATAATATAATATACAGCCACTAAATGTATTACTTTATGTTTTCAAACAAAATACCTGATTCCTTGAATCAAGTCCTGGCTCTTCCTCTTACTAGTTCAATAGCCTTGAATCTGTTTGCCTTGCTGGCTTCAATTTTGTTATGTATAAAATGGAAGACTGAACTCTCCAGGAGAGCAAAGGCATGACAACTCCAGCCGAAACCGGTTTGGCTCAGTGGCTAGAGCGTCGGCCTGCGGACTGAAGGGCCCCAGGTTCGGTTCCGGTCAAGGGCATGTACCTGGGTTTCGGGCACATCCCCAGTGGGAGATGTGCAGGAGGCGGCTGATTGATGTTTCTCTCTCATCGATGTTTCTAACTCCCTATCTCTCTCCCTTCCTCTCTGTAAAAACTCAATAAAATATATATTAAAAAAAATTTTTTAAAAAAAGGCATGCCAACTCCAATTGGTGGTATCTGTCAGGAGTTCTCAGTTAAGTAGAAGGCTGCGGCCATATCCCAATAGAAAGTAACGCTATGATCTGTCTCTTTGTAGGGGAAGGTAGTTAGCATAGTCAGGCAGGATGACATCTAAAGCCTTTTCAACTGCAGCGTTCTATGAGACTAAGTTTATTGATCACCAACTCATAATGATTTGTAGCCACTTTCCAAATGACATTTAAGAAAAAAAAAAAAAACCCACAGCAAAACACGTTGTTATTACGTGAAAAATCAAGATATTTAACTCTAGTTTAGAAAAATGGTTTCAGTAAGTGGCTTCAGTTAGAGGTGAGAGTGGGGGTGTGTGTGTCATGAAGAAACACTCTGGTTTTTGTAGAAAAAGTAGTGGTTTCTCTTCTGCCTCATATAAAGAAAAATGGCCATATCTCTTAGAAGAATGAAATTTAAAAAGGCAGTTTAATGCCTTCCCTGTGATTAATTTTACAGCCGAGGCATGGGCTATCTGTGACTAAGGGAGGGGGGCTGGATGGAGGTCAGTAAAGGGGGGAAGTGGGAGACATCTGTAATAGTGTCAACAATAAAAAAGAAAACATTAGCTGAACCCCCCCCCCCCCCGCCCCAAATGAGTGGCCTGCAGCACTCTAATGTTGAGTAAACTCATAGGTGAAAAGCAGACTGCTGAGAAAAGCTTGTTTCAAAGCCACGATTTTTAAAGCTGGAATGATAAAACACAAGGTAAATCTTAGAGAGAAAAAAAGCGAAACAGGTTGTGTACCTGG